TGGAGTGAGTGCCTGCCAGACAATTATTTGGGATTTGTTCCAATATGAATATTGAAAGAATAAATAGATTCATACAAAAAATGAAGTTAAAAGAATCCGTTCATACAAATTATTTGAGAGAAATTTCCTTGCAGAATTTTCATGGTAAAATCATTTTGAGTTATCTCCTTTGGTTCCTATATCGGCAAAAAATAAGAAAAATAGATTAAAATGTGAGGAAAAATCCCATTCGTTTCAAACCCAGAGCTTTCTGTGGGACATTTATATTACAAAAAACTTCTAAAAGAATACAATCACAAACTTATATAGGTTTGGTTTTATAGGTCAAAAACGACCAACTTATAAAACTTACGTACATAATTTATTGATTGAATTTTAAAGAACTGACATCTCATTTTTTTCCAACTTTCACTAAAATAATTATTCAACATTAAGGTAACCAAGAAATAATTAATTTCTGGCACCATGTTGTTTGAACCATTACCCCCGATCCAACTGAGGATTTACCACGTTCAATTGGTGAAAATTTGTTTGAATTTTTAGGTGGTAAGGTTTTCTAAATTTGAAAGAAAAGCGGGTGGTGCTCTCTCCGTCTAACTGCACCCCACTTCGTACACGCTGCTACTCCCACCCTGACTACGCTGGGTTCCATGCAATTGGGGTATTGTATTTCTAATAATGGGTCTAATAGGGTTTTATGGCCCCGGCTCCCGAGGGTCCGACTTTGCCCATGCCTGATCTGGAGCACTTTTGGACGATCACGCTGAATACATCTATCATAAGACATTGCTTGTAGAGGGTCGTTTATCTATTCGTTTTCTGGAAGGCCATTATCACCCGTGTGAATTCATATACAAAGACGTTTAATGTTTGTATATATCATCGTTCAAATTGATTGTATAATGAACGGATATATACTATGGAGAGAAATGTTTTTGCCTTTCGTATTTCATTATTTAAACCTTCATACATTCTCTCAGCGTCTTCATTACATTTGCATATCACTTTTCACTTAACGTGGGGGGTGAAATATAGAAGAAAAAGATGGGCGGCATTTTGCTTACACCTCAAATTGAGGAACTCGGGATGTTAGGAGTGGTTTTTGCATATGTCGATCATTTAGATGCTCATCTGGCTCGGTGGTGTAGTGCTCGAGCGGTGTTAAATTTTTCAACTGGATTTGGGAACAGCCCGGAGATCACGAAGGAGAAGACGGTGTGAGACTGAACAGCGCGAGGCTGATTCCACCACGAAAAAGTGGGATCTTCGAATTGAAAACGAGGTAGTATCTGTTGAAGTGATCGTCGCTGAATTTGAAAGGTCTCTGAATAACGGTCGTGAGCATATTTTAAGTGTGACGGAAGGGTATTCAATGCGAAGGGCTGCTTTAAAGGCCTTGGTTCGGGAATCGAAACGCGTTATTAGGGTCAATAGAGAGTGATCGTCATAGAAAAAATGCGTCTAACGGGAAAAAATTTTCGATATCCTCCTAGTTGCGCATTTATGATTGATGCAGTCTGTGATAGTCACTCAGAAAGGGTGACTGATGCAAGAACTAGTGACGGTCCTTGTGGACATACTCGACAAACTTATGAGATCCGTCAGTGAAACCAAGTTGGGTTGTGTTACAACGGCTATCGCGGCGGGAAATAGTTAGTTTCACATTGCCAAAATTGAAGCGGTGCGTCCCGAGCGAAAGGTGCCCATCATGTACGCGATCTCTGGAAGAGCAGCTGGAGAGGGAACGTACCCTTCAACCACCATCTTTGGAGAAGATGTCACCGACGACATATGGGAACACACCGAAAAGGAGGAGTGGCAGACCACGGAAAATGCCTCAGTTGTTTCCCGTGACGAAATGATATGTTTTTATTCGTTTCAAAATTCATTTTTTATACTATAATAATTTTGTCCTGAATTTCAAGACCCCCCATCTACGGCAATAAAACTTTTACATTTATTCGTTTGTTAATTATCCAGTTGTTGAAAAATAAAATTATTAAAATTTAATTGTGTGATTATTAAGGTTGTTGTATCATAGATTGCTTTTTTCGACAGTTTTCGATTAAACTTTTCCTGTGGATAGTTAAAACAATTAGCTGTCCAACGAGCCCTCTTTAATTAGGGTCCATAATCTGTAACTCGAGATATAAATTTTTGAAATTTTTTCGATATTACATTCGCTTAAAGGCAATTCCACCGATGGGAATTTTTTTAAACTCAACCACTCGACAGTTTTTTATGAAAAAAATCTATATCGGAGAACAAGTACTAATAAATCAACAGAAAAAAAAAGAAATATCTGTATAATCTCATATCGGAGAAATTAATTAGTAAAATTTGATTATTGCCAAAATGGGGCGGAGCAACTGAAGGGGCGGAGCGCAGTACGAGAAATACAGCGGCTGACTCAGGCGCGGGCAATTTCGAAAAAGTTAGGTTATGATGCATAGTATATTCAAATCATGGAGTCATTGTATTTTCTATTGATTCACTTTTATTAACTGTTATAATACTTAAACGCTTTAACATAAACAATATTAATAGTCTTTGAAAAACGATACAATTTTATCAATCACCTTCTTATTTTTAGTGACACGAGGTTTGTTCATGTCATTTTTTTCACCTAACAATTGCAACAATCCTCCTTTCTGTTTGCTTGCTGCCAATAAATTTTCAATTGTGATGTCAGCATTGGCGATTTTTCTAATCATGGAATCAGATATGTTACCTTTCAGGACTAGCAATGGAGGCAATGATGATAAGGCTTTCTCGTTGGCAATTTCATTTAATACACATTGCGAATAATTTTTCTTTGCAACGAATAATTTTTCTTTGCAACCAATAATTGATCTTTGGTGATTAACTTCTCTGAAAGTCTTTGCAATATCTCAACATCAAATAAAGCTTCATGAAAAACTCCAGTAATTTCAAGAAAATCTTGAGCTAATTTCTCGAGTTTCATCATGCCAGCACCTTTTCTCTCTGGCAGCACTTTTTTTATTATCGCCAAAGTGTCACTGAATTCAACAATATTTCTAAAATTAGAAATTAGTGAATTATTGATAATAGCTCGAACTAAGTGACCCGTATCAAATGGAGCATTGTGAGCAATCAGAACACATGGTTTCTGGAATAATTTAAGAAACTCATTGAAAGCGACTAGTGCTTCATTTAACGGAGTAGATATGACTAAGTTTTTCCTAAAATACAATTCTCCATCTTTCACAGTCAAAGAGGTAACTTTTGAGGCATGTGGATTTATTTCTTCTGTGGTGGGTGTGACATAAATACTGAAAGAAAACTCATTCGATTTTGCTGCTATTTGCAAAATCTCTGAATCCCTTCCCAGCCCTGACGTTTCTAGATCAAAATAAACCATAGCAAAGTCTTCTGTGTGGGAATAAATTCGTTGGGCGGCTTGAAGCTCTTGCCAACAGTTCTCATTCAGGGGTAAATTATTACACTTGTCCGAATCAATAATTAATCCACAATTGGATTGATATTTCAGTCCCTCTTTCATTTCTTTTTTTTTCGCAACTCATTCCTTTTCTGAGATAACAAATTCCTACGTGCTTTTGCGGATTTCGTTTTGACACGTTTTGCTCTGTCGCTTCTGAATTTATCCTTCATCTTGCAGAATACTTCAGTGTGCTTTCCCGGTGAAACATTTAATTTGTTCGTCACGTCCATCACATGGATTTCCCCATCATTCTTAGTGCATGCTACACTAGCTAATCGAAAATCGGCAGCTTCACTACGACTGTAGCATTTTTTTTTATCAGCTTTGTGAGCCATCATGCCATTTACACTCTCATTTGGTTGACTCGAAGCAGCCACTGAGAATTTCCCAGAATTATCAGCATATTTATTCATCAAAGTGCGTAATGCTTCCTGCAATTCAGAATCATGGAGAATGCATGCATCTCTTTAGATGGAGGATCGTGCCTTTTTGTCTCAGTTCTTTATAATGTTTGGACAAATCCTACAAATCATTGGTGAAATGTTTGCCTAGGTGATTTCTGTCGGATAACTTGAAAATTTTTATATCTGTCCCCCGACGTACACTAGATATCGTTGAAGCATCTTCGTCACCTATCAGAACCCGTACTTGGAGACCAGCTTCTTTTAAAATTGGACTCTCATTGACAAGATAAGCACCGACATCAGCCTCCATTGCCTTAGCGCTACCCGTAAAATTTTTACGGCAATCATGCCTCTCCTTGGCTACACCGATATCACAAAATTTGCATTTTCGATTGCGTGTCGCAAAATCTAAAATCTTTCCACTTAGAAAACCAATAATCGTCCCGTAACCATTCAAACTGTCGTATTTTCTCCCTGTCCCCCGCGTACTCCACCCCATATCGTATGAAACAATTATATTAACAATAGATCCTAGGCTTGTATCAAAGATATTTTCGGAAGATTGAAGACTTTTGAGTTTCATTGCCGAAGGGTAAATTTCGTCGACGACATTTTGGGGTCTGAAAAGACAGAGAAAAAAAAGAGTAGAGTGAGCACTCAGGAAGAAGGACAATTGTGATTGGAATGGGGTGAATAATCAATCGGTAAAATTCATCGTCGTTGTTTCATGTAATTATGATTTCGTTCTTTAGGAAAAATAATCAATGATTACAAATACAGAACACATAGTGTACATAAAATCAGAAATAGGAATATGGAAAAAAAACTTTATCCGAAACCTAAAATGAAAAAATATCAGTGTAAAATCTGAAAATTCATCACTAGTTATCAATTCGGTCGATAAAAAATTTTTCGCCCCGATTTTGAAGCTCTCTCATTCCATTTCTATGCTTCACATGTTAAATTATGTACAATTTCATACCAATTTAATATTCAAGAATATATATAAAATTCATTGTGTATAAAATGAGGTAAATAAATTTAAAAAAAATAGATATATATATATATCAGTAAAAAAATCTGTAAAAGTGGGTGAAATTTGAAATGGGAAAAAAATTGATCAGTGTAAAATCTCACAATTCATCGCAAAGCTTATCGATATTTTCGATGACAAGTTTTCGTTCCTCTTGCGCAGCTCTCCTACAACTTTCTTTGGCAGATTCCTCTATTGCTGGACCAACTTCTCTTTCATAGCGTTTGAATAAATTACTGGATACAGTTGGTACATTTAGACATGCCAGTACTTTGTTCAGTCCAGTACATCCCACACCAGCATGAACGGTACCTATAAGAATCAAATTACACAATTCAATAAATAATTCAATCGTAACAGAGAAAGAAAATAGTTTACATATTTCAGTCTCTTACCGAGTATTGCTTTGGTATTCACATCAGCGTGCTGATGAGAATCTCGTGTGGTGTGGGTTTTACCCGTTGAAACTATTGTCGTTTTCAAGCACTTTTTACACCTGATGGTGAAAAGTGAATGGAGCCCCATTCTCTTTTCACGTTCAATATTTTTCAGGGATAGTAGTTCTTGACACGAATGACATTTCAATTTTTCGGCAAGATATGGAATATCAACGATTCTCCGCCCTGAGCAAATATCCTGAGCACTTCCACTTTCTGATTCACGAGCAGTCGTTCCAATGACACCAGGGTTATCTGATTTTTTATTCGCTTTAGCCCTAGCCATATTGGCAGCGAAATTTGTCCTCTTTTCGAGACCTCTAGCCGTTATGTATCTCCCTTTATACCAATGTTTTGGCATGATTTGATACTAATTAATTTCCTCTGAATCACTAACGAATTTTCTATATAAATGGAGAGACTGTAGTACAGGTTCGTTGACACACCAAAACAAAGTGAGCGGTGGGAGGCAGAGTGCGCAGTCGCCCGGGCGTCCGCGTATGCGATATATATCCATGCATATTACGTGCACGTGTGTGTGGATGGGGGCGTGACTGGCCTTCCACTGGTCGGAGCGTTCATTCACTGGGAACGCTACAACAACCTTAAATAAAAAGAAATGGTATGAACTCGTCTCTGTAGACATTGGAATTCGCAACGTAAGCACCCCTGGAGCTGGCTAGTCTGACCTTCGCCGCTTAGAATGTGTTACCGTGGAGAAGACGTCAGAGTGCACGTGCAAAACTGCAAAATCAGCACATTGTTTCATAGGGAGTAGTCAACTTGGTGACCGGGGTCTTAAGTCAGGCAGCCATTTTTTTCAGTCTCTACTGAAGCGCGGCCGCGAGAAGGAGCCTGTCTTTTAGTGGAGTGTTCTTTATGCCACAAGCGAGGATTATTGTGTGTATGTGTGTGTGTGTGTGTGTGTGTGTTGCGTTGTGTGTGCCATGAGGATTACCGGCCGAAATTTTGTGACCCCCCTGAGCACCGCTACCACCGCCGAGGACGAGCCGACACCCTCCACCAACGGGTGTTATCCTACTAGCACGACTGGAACGCGCCCCATGACTCCCTCCTCGGACGCCGGCTGGTCTTCGTCGTCGACGTCATCGTCATCGGTGGCTCCAGGGGACACCGTCTGGGCGCCGATTGGGGGTAGCATCCCCATTAAAGATGACCCGGACCCATACAGGCTACGGCCGGGGTACGGCGGGTTGGACCCCCAACTCCCGGACCGACGGTGGCATCTCTGGGTGGAACACGAGTTAGTGTTTCCAACCCAACACCTGGAGAATGACACCCGTCATCGAGGAAGGAGTACTCCTCCTCACCTGGGCTGGTGGCAGACGGACAGCCCATTCCCTATGAACATCCCTCCTGAGGAGTATACCCAGAGTCGCATGGCCAGATGGTTAACTACGGAGAGGGCCGAGCTGGACGAGTGGGACACCGAGGACGAGGAGCTGGCCCACCTCTCGTTATTCGGGGAGTCCGACGAGGACCAGGGCGTGGAAGATGAAGACATTTTGAATGCGGAGTGGTTGTGTGTGTGGAGAACAGTGTTGTAATAGACTGCGAGTACATTTTAAGTTTTATGTAAGCACTAGCGCCGCCGTTGATCAAATTGCCGTTTTCAAATGTATTTGCGAATGTTTCATGAGAATGAGAATTGATGTTTTCAAAATAACGCATTAAAATGAATAATTTATGCGAATAATTCTGTGTAGACATAATTTTTCACGGTATGTGATTCTCTTTGGCTTCCGAGCTAAATTTTCAGAGAGTTCCATGAACGAACACGTGATAAGGCAACATAAAGTTGTACATGATTGAAAACATCCCGACTGAGATCAATTCCGATTCTTTCGAAAGTTTGTCCCTGTGACTTATTAATTGTCATAGCGAATGCCAATTTAATAGGGAATTGCCTCCTTCCAAAAGTAAAAGAATAATCATCTTCACTATACAAAGTGATACGATTAATGAAACCAATTTGTCCTGTTTTATCTCCAGTCAAGATTCGGCATTTCAATAAATGATTCCTCAATTCTAAAATGAGTAATCGCGTTCCGTGACATAATCCTTCATTCATAGTAAGGTTTCTAATTAGCATTACGACAGTGTTAATCCTCAATCGTAATTGATGAGGTGGCAAACATGAAGGACTTAATGTCTCCAAATATTCCGGCAGAATTGCTTCAGTCATGTCTCCATTATCACAGTTTTTTACAGTATTGATACTGCAATAAATTTTCTCTGTTGATTTGTCCAACAGTTCAACAACTCTTTGATTGATATCATCAACATCAACGTTTCTTGCTGACAAAATTGCCCATTTCGTTAATTATTCAAATTCTTTGTTCTTAATCACCTCACCATATAAATCTTCTACGATATCTGCATCTGGAGGTGCTATACATTCATCGGGTAGGTGTATCTCGCAGTCATTCATATTCAATGTTCCATCTCCAACAGATAGTAGAAATCGGGAAAATTCAGTTTCTTCTCGTAAGGCGCGCATATTCTCTGTCAGAGTGAACTTGAAAAAGATGGGCCACAGGTGACTAAATTTGATTGATAAATTAACCAATTCACTACGAGTTGCATTTTTTTTCACGGGTAGTAGCTGACGAAAGTCTCCACCTAACAGAATAATCTTACCCCCGAATGGTTTATCACTCTCTTGTTGGATACGGAAAATTGGGAGGATATTTATTTTAATATACGACCAATTTTCCCTGACCGGGCAATAAAATAATTAATTTATTTAGGATAGGATCCTTACCTTTAAAGTGCTAGGCACATCTGTTGAATATGAGTTGAGGTATATTTTAATTACTTCAAGAATAGTAATGTGATTCAGTAGAATG